TGGAGCTCTTCGTGCATAAGTTCTTGAAGTGACCTTTAACTATCTCTCAAGGCATAGTTCCCTTTCGCTTCTACGTTATTGATAACCAGCTCCTCTACATAATTAACCCCTCTATGGTATTGGCCATATGGTGGAACCAACTTGCTGCTACTTGAGAAGGATTTGCTCCTTTTCTATTTGGCGTACTTATCAGAACTGACAATGTTCAAAATTATGCTGGATTATGACAAAAGATCACTGTTTTAGTGTTCTTTAGCTTTCTGTCTTTACCCCTAGGAGGTCTTTCTCTACTAGCTGTTTTTTAAGAACAAAAAATAAAAAATTCTCTATTTATTCTGGTATTGTTGGCAGGCAGGCAAATATTTGGTTCTCTTTGCAAATTCAAACTTGTAGCAAGCATGAGAAAAGGAGGCATCCCATCTTGCATAAAACACAACTGCATGCATATGTACAATTTGTGTGATTAAATTTGACGTTAACTTTTCATCTCAAGGAAATCTGAGAAAGTAACACAAACAGTTCGAGCGTGTTTCACATTCTAGATGTAGGTGTAGCTTTTGAATCCTCTCTCATATGGAAATGATTTTAGGTTTATAAGACAATTTTTTTCTTGTTGCTATGCCTTTTTGAGTAATATTGGAATATTCTATCTGCAGTAAATGATAATATGAGCTCGAGAGCTGTTTACAAAGCAATGTTCGAATCAGTTGCACTGGTTGGGGTTAGTGCACTTCAAGTTTACCTTCTGCAGCGCTTGTTTGAGCGCAAGCTTGGAACATCCAGAGTTTGGAGCCATTAATGCCACCGTGCTACTACTTGTTTGATTTATTTATAATGTAGCAAGGTAATTTTTAATTTTAACCCCGATTTTTTTCAGTCTAATCATTATTGGGTATAACATGAGGGTATGACATTTCGTAATTGTTTATAAGAGATCTTTCTTTTTAAATTTTTTTTATAAAAAAAATGGTGATTCAAAGATGTTGGTGAGTATGAGATTTTTGTAGTTTCAAAACATTATTTATTTTGGCTTTCAGAGTATTTTCAACCTAAACTATCTTCAAAAGAGTTTATTAGTGAACAAGAAAACAAGCTTCTATTGCGCATAAGATTCGAGCTAAACTAGGCAATTTGTATTATAAACTAGGAATGACAAGAAAACAATTCCCGGTTAAAGTAACTTTTGAAATCTAACGAACTTCCTTGCCCAATTGGCTTTAATTATGAAGATATGTTAATAAGTCACGTCCTAGCTCATGAATAGAGCACGGGATTAAGTTAAAGTTATTGGACTGAATTAATTTGGAAGTGTCACATCACATCAGAAAGCATGAAGCTAAGAATATGTGCCCGAGTCTGCAGATGCAGAAACATAAAGATTTCGCGAGGGAGAGATGAAGAGAATTTAATATGGTATCTTTTTGGGGGGCTTATGCGGAGCTTTGGAAACTGGCCCTTCAATATTATACACACGGAAAATTAACATCCACTCAAAAAAAAAAAAAAAGTCATAATAGTAATGTCACAGTTGTAGTAGTGTAGGGAGAGCAACGGGACCAAACCATCATACATAAACATAAACAACAACAAAAGACATTGTTCTTTTAACATATTCTTATCTAAGCCCGCAATATCACCACAGCTTAAATAAATTCACAACAAACGTTCCAGCAGGATCCATCATAGCCTCTGAATTGAGCTCCAGTCTTCTGGATTTGTATATCTTGGGGCAGGGTATACATAAACAATGCTTCGCTCCTGAGCTTTTACAATGTAGAAGATTCTTCTTTATTCTGCAGGTGCAGCTTGTATGCAGCAAAACCATCTTTTCTGTAAATCAACCCACGATAACAAAATCAAAAGAAGTAATCTACCAAACAAGTTGTTCTGCCTATTAATTACTGAAATGGACAGACATACTATGCAATCCAAAAGGCAAGTTAAACGAGGTACAGCTAAAATGGCCACTTACAGATTGAGGCTTTCCAAGAACAGCCCCATTTTTATATCTGTCCTCATCTTTTGCAGGAGACTCAGGTTTGCCGCCTCCCTTCTTTTCATTCCTAGCTTTGTTGAAGATAACTGTAAATCCCTCTGCAGATGCAGGATCATTGACATCCCATTCACCAAACTTGGGCAATGGTCGACCCTTGTCCTGTACCCAATTTTTTCAGAAATTAAGAATAATCATTTCATGGTTGAGTCTGGAAAATTATATGGCTTGGACAAACAGTGCAATCTTTTATGGGGTACATTCGTGGTGCTTACTAGTAAGTTGGGAAGCAGTGCTCTCTTTTCTTAAGCTCACTATCAAACAACGAGCAGAGTAATTGAAAATATATGACAGTTAAGTAGAGAGGAGTCAAGACTCAGGCTAATCAAGCTAATTCTGCAATATGCATCTAGATTTATGCCACTGGCAATTAGAGAGTCCAACCTAGAGATTTGAATACAGAAACAAAGAGATTAAAAACATAAAATTCAACTCCTTATGAAGAAAATGAAATTCTTCAAGAGTAACCAGCATGCCCCCATCTTGAAGCTGACAACGATATTTTAGGATAACTATAAATAGTGGTATGATAGGCTCAGATCATGAATTATCTCATTGTCAAATCTCAAAATAAGAGTTTCCACATTATATAAGAAGAAGAGTCAACACAAAAGTAAATGAAATTACAACGTGGACCACAATAGCACCCAGACAAATCTTGAGAATGCTCACACAATCACAAACAACCATGGATCAAGAATGGCATAAAGAGTTCATTAATAAGGATAACTCTTTGATGATAGGGAGAGTTGTGAGAGAAAGAAGAATCATCATTTAACGGAAATTATTACTTGTAACGAATGTTTTGCTGCATGTACACGCTAATATCCGGTAAGGAAAAATCTGCATATTACATAGTTTTTCTTTAATTTCATGAAACTTTGTGTCAACTTAGCTCCTAATGCTTCTTCACCTGTACATATTATCCTCATTTACCTTCGCCGCCTGGTTATGTTACCCTTTTCACTGTAAACAGATGGTCTCTACTTCGATGTTTCTAAGTGAGTCTTCAACATATTATCATTTCCCAAAATTAAGATATAGCCTTAGATGCATATGCCTGTCATATGAAAGACAAGCATGAAGCTAAACAATAAAAATTGGTCCAGAAGTAATTGCTTATTTCAAAACAGACTATTTACTTCCAGGCTTGAACTTGAACTCCAAGAAGAAGAGATTGGTACATCAAACTTATTTTTGAGAGAACAGACTTAACCTAGTTGTATTTCAGCAAAGAGAAAAATCAAGGACCTATTTCATGGAGAAAATATATGGTATACATAAGGAGCCTATAAGAAGCAAGATCTTGGTTCAAGGATTTCAGGACACTGCTAGAAACCCAAAAGCAAGAGTCAATTGATTTTCTGGATGATAATAAGAAGTCCGCCGGGCTGGGGGATAAGTAATTCACAATTTCACAAGCACAGAAAAAATCACACTTCATTCCTACATTTGCTGGTTGAAAAAGAGAAAGTTAGAACAAAAGCTATAATAACGGAAAAGAAGACCGATTGGAAACAGCATATCTCTGCATGCTAATGTGGAGCACTACACCAGGTTCACCTAGAAACAAATTTACCACCCAAACACACGTGCGCGAGCACACTATGCAATCACCAAACAAATAAAAGTATGCAGCATCTACAGACTAAAACATAGGAACTGAAAAGAGATACCTAAAATACAAACAACATAGTCTACTTGCCTACCAAATCATTTGACGAGGTGATTCATACTTCATATGAGTGTATTGAATAAATCCCGGCAATTAATGTCACACGAACGTGCATAAATATGAATTCAAGAGTGTGGAAACCAAATCATGAGATGAAACTTAAAAATTACAAATTGAGACAGAAATGAAAAGAAACTTGTCATAGAAACAAGCAAAAGAAAAATTATGTAAGAAAATCCAAACATAAGGACGAAACACCGCTCTTAATCTCTATAGGAGGATTAAAGAGGACAAGTAATGATGATTTTCTCCGTTTTCCATATAGTAATTGACATAAATTTGACAGTACACCTAATCAAAATATATAGATTTCAAATCTTCTCAAAATTAATCAAACACGTAGCAAAGATGACTTCAAACCGGGGGAAATGACAAAATATTTCCAATAGTAAACCAAAAGCAGACGAGAATAATCATCCGAAACCGGAAACCATTCAAATCGGAACAAAAACATCCTGAACCGTTCATTACAGCACAAAAATCGAAAAAGAAAAAACTCCTGCATAGTCAAATCAGGAACAGAATGCAATTTTAAATTAAACAAAAAAGTAATCCGCCGGCATAAACAGGAAGGAAAGAAAAAACATATTCGTGTATGCATATGCGCATAAGTGATGTAGGTGCATGTATGGAAAGCCGTACCGCCATGAATTTGGAGACAGAGGGAGAGAAGGCTGGAGTCTGGAGGAGGAGAGCGTAGTCGCCTCCTTGTGCTTCTGCTGTTTATGATGATTGAAGAGAGAGAAGGGGGGGAGAGGGAGAGAGGTGGGCCAAATGGGCCACAAACGTTAAAGTGGTGAATGCTAAATGGAGGGGTGGGGCCCACTGCTTAACCTTCCCTTTCGTGCTGTTTGCTTGTTCCAGCTTGGCATTTAGTCCCCCTCCACTCTTCCCAATAAAACTCTTTAAATGTTTAATATTTTATTAAATGTTAAAAATAAACTAACTTATACACTGAGAAATGTTTTTATTTTTATTTTTTTAATATTAATAAAAATTGAGGTTATTTAAAGTAAATAACAAGTTGTGAGGATGGGTCCTAAGGAGATGCTTCGATGTATATAATATTGGGTTTCGTATAAATACAGGTTTTTGGGAACTTTCACATGACACGCACGTTTTAAAATAATAATAATTAAACAAAAAAAAGGTTCAACGACAAGAGAGGCAGCATTCCAAAGTATGGATTTTACAAAGAGTAACGTAGCGTTGAATTTTTACCATTAAAAATTTTTAGGTGTAATTGTGATTTTAATTTAATTATCACGCAAACATATTGCATTAAATTGATTAATAGTATTGTACAAAATACAAGTAACAATCTATAGAAATTTTGAAAATTCTACATGTCCATAAATTTTTTTCTAATGTTAATTAAACTCTGCTGCTGATAAATATTAATTTTGAATTTGTGTCAATATGACATGGGTGCCGCAGTCAAAACATTTTTAAACCCTGTTTTATTTGCACGTGTCAGCTTTTTACCACATTTTGTCATGTTTTATTCGCAAAAACTTCATTGTCGTCCTCTGCGCTCTCAAGCAAAAAATAGTATGTTCGCTTCGCTCTAAGGCAAAGACTCCATCGTTGGTAGAGAATATAAACTCGAGAGGGTGTTAATAAAAATTATACACACAGTGTGGGCCTGGTTTTGACGGATTTTAAAATGCCCAACCTGAAATTACTTAACCCTGCACTTATTTTTAGTGCCAACTCGTACCCGCCCCGCGTCAAATCCAATTGTTTTTATGAGAAAATTGCATCGAGTTAGGTTCATGCTAGTTGTATAATGTTGGGTCCGAACAGGTCTTTGCCATCCTTACTTTTCATTCATTCCCATAAAAATGAAAAATTAGTCATAATGTTATTTTAAGTAATGAAATATATATATGTACTTGTACTGAAAAAACAATACAGATTTATAATAATTTGTGATGTGGAGTCAGTAGTCCGACACCTGAAAGGGTTAAAAACACCGAGGGGCACCTCGGCAAGTCATTCAATTCCTTGGCTATCAAGTCAACGTATAATTATTATTCATGCGCGCGAACCCACCTCTTAATTCCAATAAAAACGAAAACAACATGACTTGCTTCTTTCGCGGCTTTGGACCCAATTCTTTGTCCCCTTCAATTCAAATTTCTTTTCTTTCTATGATTCAATTCAAAAAATTTCATTCCTTTTTCATATTTGTGAATCAATCAATTAAAGCTGTATTTGTCGTGCAGTATTCTATCTATTTTTCAATGAAATACTATTTATATTTATATCTTTGATATGATGCATCTTAAAGAATATAGTGATGTCATTAGCTGGCCCTCCTTTCAATGGAAGCCAAAGAGAAAGAAAATTAACAAAGTTGGAAATATAGCTTCCTTTGTAAATGAACCAATACGTACTTATTGCAATACAGCCAAAAAAGACAAAAAAAAAAAAAAAATTGAAGAAAAAAGGAGCATCAAATTGCACATGATTGAAGTTTGATGGCGACAAAGACTATTCCTCCGCAAGGTCCAACTCACAACCTGAAACCTACGAGTAATTAGGCAGAGAATAAGTTTTGTTCGGAAAACTCCAACCCATATAATGAAGCCAAAACAGATGCAAAAAAAAAAAAAAAAAAAAGGATTGCCACCTTCTTAAAATTACTAGCCTCTACTTCAATTCATAACACTGAGTTCTACTTCTATTCTTGGAAGCATCATGCTTTCTATTTAACCTTCTAAAATTCACGATAATCTATTAATTTTGTAAAGAAAATCATCTAACATTCTGCAGTAATATTACAAAATAGTAGTTGATTACTACAAAAAATTATTAAATTACCATAAAATGTTCGGAGTTACCACAAAGGGCATCAAAGATTTTTCCACTGGCCATGGATTTTCGTGAAAAAGTATAGCATGTTTTCAACCTTTTCCTCTGCTCTAAATAAAGACCTTATTTCTAAAAAAAACTTGTCCGACAAGATTAGGGAGTCATATAAATCAATGTTCTTGCTGTTTACCAACCACTTTTTCTATTGTTCCTAAATTTAAAAAAAAAAAAAATCTTATGAGCAATAATAATTATACTGTGTTAGATCAGTGACCTTCAGCATGTTGACCTAAGCAATAGTTGTGTACATGTATGTAGCATGCACGAGCCTTACCTAACATCAAGAAGTTTACACGAGCTCTACAACAAGAGAAGATGCACCCCCACCACCATTGCAAACACCACCAACACCGTATTTTCCATTTTTCTGCCTTAGTACCTGGAGCAACATCATGATAAGTTTGACAAGATGAAAAGATGCACTCTCAGATAGAGAGAGCAAGAATGATTTAGCAATTATTGCATGACATATACCCCCAACAGTGTGACTAGAATACGAGCTCCGCTGCATCCTAAAGGATGTCCCAAAGACACAGCTCCACCATTCACATTAACCTTCTCCTGTAAGCAAATAAAATATTGATATTATCATGGTAGAATTTGTTTTGAATGTCAATTTTTTGAAACATGAATGCGAATGCAATATGAGTTAAATAAAAGTTTGAATGACAATAGCATTTCAATTCTACATAAATTTCATATCCAATAAAATTTAATTGCTTTTATAATTCCTTGATTAATGCAAATATATATTCGTCATCAACTGAATTGTTGATGGGGTTAGATCAACTATGCATAAACCATGTAAATTATTATCAAAATCTACATATTAAATAATTAAGATATACTAAATTAAAATTAAATAGACCTGGACCAAATGCAGCGGAAAAATTAGATTGAACCAAATGCTTCGTGGAAACTAGAATGAAACAGGTAATTTTCATGCGAAAAGAAACTTAATTGGAATGGCTACAGAAACTCAAATATAACATGCTTAGGTGCAGACTTAATGTAAAAAACTCACTGGATTAAGCTGAAGAAGCTTCTGATTTGCAAGAGCCACAACCTGCCCAAAAAAGAATACGGTGACATGGAGGTTATTAACTATATCAGATTGGCTAACCAATCATCTAAGAAAATAATGGTGGGATCTTACAGCAAAGGCTTCATTTATCTCATAGTAATCAATTTGATTTGCGTCCAAACCAGCTTTTGAAATAGCTTTGGGTATTGCAAGGGCAGGAGCTGTTGTGAAGAACTCTGGTTCCTGCAAGGCAGATGTCATGTGAGCATAAGTTGGCATGGCACTTTATATAAAAATAGAAGTTAAAACAAACAATCTAAAAAGACATAATGCATTTTATTAAGAATAGTTTTCTGATAATGTTAACAGATAGCATTATTTGAGTAAAAAAAGTGAAAGAAGAGTATTCTTTCAAATACTTTTGTATGTGAAAATCATTTTACATTATCCAAAAACAGTCTTAAAAACAAGCAAACAAAATGAACCTCATTCAGAGCATGTTCTCAGAAAACAAAGAAATGGGAAATGCATCCTCTACATTCACGAATGTAGAAAATACCTGAGCAGCATCAGCGTAACCTGTAATTTTTGCAATTACTTGAAGCCCAAGGGTCAGTGCCTTCTCTCCACTCACTATAACTAATGCAGCAGCACCATCGCTATCATCATGACAGTTTCATTTCTTAGTATAAGCTTTAATCTAATGTTTTTAATTGGACTTGCATGAGAATAATTGGAAACGTAATATGCAGTTTGGTACAAAATATTTAAGTCAAATTTAGGCTTCTTCAAAAGAGTAGACTCAGCCTTGGTACAAAATATTGAAAAACAAGAACATGTAACTTTCATTAAAGATGATTAGGAAAGTTAACTCGATAAAAAAAATGAAGGACAGAAAATGAGTACATAACTAATAACTTCATTAAATTAATAATATGACTATATAACAAGAAAAATAGGTTTCTAACATCAAATGAGTAATAAAGAGTAATTGCTTCAAAAGTTTATGTGGATTAACCTTATGCTAGAGGCATTCCCAGCAGTAACAGTCCCTCCATTGTCCTTGAAACTCGGTCGGAGCTTCCTTAATTTCACAGGATCAAACTGGCAAAAAGCAGCATTAGCATATAGAAGATGGAAGATACAGAAACTTGTACACGATTAACTTATTTCATCTTGGCACTTTGTGAGAACCTAAAATAAATAGAAGAAGAAACCAATGGAGAACAGTCTGAAACAGAACAAACAACAAGTTTGATGGATAATTCCTTCAGCTTGAGCAAAAGAACTCCAAAACTTAGCGCAAATCTCCCCAACCTCTTTCAGATCTAAGGGACTTAAAATATAATATAGTAGTAGAGAAAAATGGCCAACTATTAGATGAGACATCTCTATTAACTAAACCAGGTTCAAAAAGAAACACAATACAAAAGCTTCTATCTAATTTGTTTGATCTGATTTGAGGACATAATTCTACACAGATACTCCTTCAGATGAGAAAAGAGAGAATGAATCATACATTTTCATATGAGAATTAATATTTACCTTTCCTAGACCTTCATCCTTATCAACAAGTGTTGATGGCCTTCCCCTTCCTCCAGAAACTTCAACCTGCAAGGTGATTTAGTTTTATTCAACAAATTACAAATTTATAAAGA